AGACTCTTAACGTATGGCTCCAATGCCCAGGCACCCTTCACTACAGCCCATGGCAGATTTATATTAGGTTTCTTGGAAATGTAACTTGGGAGGCTGAGGCAGGAGACTCGCTTGAGCCCAGGAGTTGGAGGTTGCTGTGAGCTGTGATGCCATAGCACTCTACTCAAGGGGACAGCTTGAGGCTCTGTCTCAAAAAAAAAAGAGTGGGGGCTTACAGGTTATAGGTGGATTCAGACATCCTTTAATTGGTTACTGATTAAAGGAGTAAAGTTGTGTCTAAAAAATCTTGGAATGAGCAGAAAGGAATGATTATGTTTAGTTTTAATGTATACGAAGTAAGAAGTCTTCTCATCATCATCTGGTGCTATGGCAGAGTCATGTGTGAGATCAAGGCACAGTATTCTGAGTCAAACAAACTTGTTAAACAAAATAGTCTGCAAATATGATTCTTTCCAGGGCCCCTTGGAAAGGAATTTGGAACAAAGGACAGTGATCAGAGTTTAGCCTTCATCACTTACTTATCCAACATTGAGCATCTACTGTGTCTAAGATGTAACGGTTTTATTTGTTCACTGGGGTCTGGTTTTGTTTTTATTATTCATTTTGACAACACCTTATAATACTACCAATAAAATCTGCTAACATCTTTAGGTAGGAATAATTACATTGTCAAGCTTGTAATAGAAGTGTTAACTTCCTTAAATTACTTCCAATTCTTAATTATCTAAGGTTATGGAAACACCCACAACAACCTCAAAATCTTTTTATACTGAGTGTTGGAATTAATTTTTATATTTCTGTTTGCATATAGTAAATCTTTGTACCCAACTTCCAATGCCTAAAGTAAGCAGAAAACACTTGCTTTAATAGAATTCGTAACCTAGTATTTAGAAGCAAGAAGTATTTCTGATAATCTAAAGGGGAAGAAATATTCAAAAGTTATGTATTTAGAGACTATTAACAATAACTAACAGCATAGCTTTTTTTTAAAAAAAACATCTTATTCTCGGCTCGGTGCCTGTGGTTCAACCGGCTAAGGCGCCAGCCACATATACCTAAGGTGGCCAGTTCGAATCCAGCCTGAACCCGCCAAACAACAATGACGGCTGCAACCAAAGATAGCCGGGCATTGTGGCGGGCGCCTGTGGTCCCAGCTACTTGGGAGGCTGAGGCAGGAGACTCACTTGAGCCCAGGAGTTGGAGGTTGCTGTGAGCTGTGATGCCATGGCACTCTACCCAGGGGGACAGCTTGACGCTCTGTCTAAAAAAAAAAAAAAAAAAAAAAAACACATCTTATTCTCTAATGGAGATAAATTGTATTCCCCGTTATGAGCAAGCAAATTGGACACAGAATAGAATGAATATCTGGCTAAATTCACATCATACTTTCTCATTTACATAGGTCTTTGACCATTTGAATATTTAGGATACAGAAAAAGTGGAACCATTAAGAAATAAGTAAATCTGCCTGGTGTGGTGGCTCATGCCTATAATCCTAGCACTCTGGGAGTCCAAGGCAGGTGGAGTTCTTGAGCTCAGGAGTTCCAGACCAGACTGAGCAAGAATAAGACCCCATCTCTACTGAAAATAGAAAAACTAGCTGGGGGTGTGGAGGACACCTGTAGTCCCAGCTAATTAGGAGGCTAAGGCAGGAGGATTGCATGAGCCCAAGAATTTGAGGTTGCTGTAAGCTAGGACACCACTACACTCTATCCAGGGCACAAAGTGGGACTCTGTATAAATAAATAAATCCACTAGAAAATGTTTTAAATTGAGCCTATGACTGCAAGGAAATACATTGTGTAAAAAAAATAACTGATTATCATAAAGTATACATTGTCATTGATTAGAAATTTCACATTGAGTTAGGTACAGAAATATAAATGCTTAAAATGAATAGCTGCTTTCACAAACCTAATTTTACAGATTGGTGGCAGAATTCCCTGCAACTGGAGGAATACTTACTTCATGGCAATTTTACTCTGTGAAGCTCCTCAGATACGTTAGCTACTATGATTATTTTATTGCTTCCTGTGAAATCACATTTTGTATTTTTCTTTTTGTCTTCACAACACAAGAAATTAAAAAGATAAAAGATTTTAAGTTTGCCTATTTCAGAAGTATTTGGAACTGGCTGGAATTACTACTTTTGCTGGTGAGTATATATTTATGTATATGGTTGAATGGTATTGCATCCCTGAACCCACCAATGAATGAAGTATAAAAAACCGAATTTTCTATTTATCCAGAACTTATTTTGAAAACTACAAGTATCAAGCATAAAATGAACTGTCATAGTAAGTACTAATTATGTGCTTCCAAAAAGGGAGAAATCTACTTGTTTCTTATTTGCTCTTTGGAGGGTTGGCATAAACCTAGAGGAATAAGTGAGTGCATAAATAATTTTATTTAGTGTTCATAGTAGGTGTCTCTACTCCTACTCAAATTGTGGGTCTTTTGGGGTAAGATTTTTTTTTTTAAGACAGATTCTCAATCTGTCGCCCTGGGTAGAGTGCTGTGACATCATAGCTCACAGCAACCTCCAACTCCTGGGCTCAAGTGATCCTCTTGCCTCAGTTTTTCTATTTTCACGCCTGTAATCCTAGCATTCTGGGAGGCTGAGGTGGGTAGATAGCTTGAGCTCACGGGTTCGAGACTAGCCTGAGCAAAAAGCAAGATCCCCGTCTTTCCTAAAAATGGGGTAAGATCTTTTAAAACATGCTCTTCTATGTTACTTAAATCTGCTTTCCTCTTCACACTAAATTTTGAACAAGCAGGCAAAAGTCAAGATAAGGCTGAAAACTGATAGCAGAGAGGGCATGTGGGGGGAACGAAGTGAGAAACCAGGGGGTACCTTGAAGGTACAGAAGATACAAGTATTGGGGAGATAGTCCCTGAAAGAAATACCAGAGACCAAAGACTGCCAGTTCTAGTAGTCACTGGAATGTACTAAAACAGAGATTTAGGCAGAAAGAGACATATTAAGAGCTTTTTGCTTAGGAACCATCAGTGAACAATTTCTGATTCATATAATCTGATCTTTCACCCTTGTTGGCCTTGCATATAGCCTATCAAAATTAGATTGAAAGTTTCTCAAAATCAGGAATTGTATTATCTACTTCTCTGGTATCCCCAATAATGTCTAACAAAGGGCATAGCATTAAATGTTACTTAAATATTTCTGATTATTTCCGGCAAGGGGAGTCAAAGGAAAAATTTCATACATTATAAAGCTCTATTGGCCGAGATAACCTGGTTTCGAAATTCTCTTTCAAAAGGGTTTTAGGCCAGGTGTGGTGGCTTGTACCTGTAATCCCACTTTGGAAGGCCAAAGCCAGGAGGACTGCTTGAAGCCAGGAGTTCAAGATTATAGTGAGCTATGATCATGCCACTGCACTCTATGGAATGAGGCATTGTCTCTTTAAAAAAGAGAGAGAGGGCAGTGCCTGTGGCTCAAAGGAACAGGGTGCTGACCCCATATAACCCAGCCCCTGCAAAAAAAAAAGGAAAAAGAGAGAAAGAGAGAGGGAATGTTAAAGGGTTCTGAATGGGTTTATTTTTTGTAACTGTAATTTCTTACTCCTGATGAACTTTTTCATGTGTCTCTTCATAGGCTGCAAGAGATTTAGACATAGAAATAGTCTCTAATGGGTGGCACCTGTGGGTCAGTGGGTAGGGCGCTGGCCCCATCTACCAAAGGTGGCAGGTTCAAACCTGGCCCTGGCCAAACTGCAACAAAAAAATAGCCGGGCATTGTTGTGGGTGCCTGTAGTCCCAGCTACTCAGGAGGCTGAGGCAAGAGAATTGCCTAAGCCCAGGAGTTGGAGGTTGCTGTGAGCTGTGACATCACAGCACTCTACCAAGGGCGATAAAGTGAGACTCTGTCTCTAAAATAAAAAGAAAAAAAAGAAACGCTCTCTAATTTAACCCTTCTTGTTTTCCCATTTAGTTGTGTTTTGTAGCTGTTTGCTTCAACATATACTGTAATACACAAATTGTTCTCTTACTTGGACAGCTGCTGAAAAGTACTGAAAAATATTCAGACTTCTATTTTCTTGCATACTGGAACATTTATTACAACGATATAATTGCTATCACTATCTTCTTTGCATGGATAAAGGTATTTATATTTTATTCTATTACATAATACAATAGGCACTTACACTGCACATTATGCCACTGTTAAGTTTTCTTAACTATTATCATATTTTGCTGTGTCGAATGCACAGTTTTTGCCCAAATTTCTGAGGGAAAAATAAGGATGTATCTCATACATGGTTAGTACTAATTCTCTATCTATATACATTTTTAAATTTTTTTTTAAATTTCAGAATGTTACAGGGGTACAAATGTTTTGGTTACATGCATTACTTTTGTATAGTTTGAGGCAAGGTTATAATTGTGTTCATTCTCCAGATAGTACACATTGTGTGGCCCATTAAGTATGAACTTACGTATCTCCTTCCCCCACCCCTTCCACCTGCTTTATTTCCACTGAATTTTACTACCATATGTACACATGTGTGTTGATCATTTAGTTCCAACTTAAAAGTGAGCATATGCGTGTTTGTTTTCCCATTGTGATATTTTGCTTAGGAAGATGATCTCCAGTTCCATCCAGATTGTTACAAAGGGTATTAATGGGTCTCCCAGATCCCAGCCCACGTATCTTCCTCCTCAGCATGGTGTCCCAGGGGCCTCAGAATGGGGCCAGCTGCACAAGAGATGAGGCAGCTCGGAAAGGATAGGGATCTACTGTCAGGAGCCCAGGGCAGGCAGGCCTGGCCTTGGCCCTTCATACTAGCTTCCCAGGAAATAAGCCCACTGGGGTTCTGAGCAGAAAAGCTGTGGCCAACTCCCACTGATAGACATGGGTGGGAATAGGAAATGAGAAAATGTGGGGATGAGGGTTACCTGGAAGGGGAAACTTGGAGGAGGTTGGGCACTCAGGTCATCCAGACCACTCTCACCAGCTGCCTGGGCCTGCTTCCCGCTTCTCTGCAGTGGCTGGCTTTGTGCCTCATGCCTCCCACAAGAGGAGGCAGCACTGTATGGCCATTTTTGTCTTCCTTTAAAAAATTAAAATGAAAGATTTTTTTCCTGAAAGTTTGGGCAAAAAGTATGGGTGTACATTATACATGTATACACAGGGTACATTATACACAGCAAAACACAGTAAGCAATTTTAAGAGTAGTTTGGCCTTGTAATGATTGCTGGAAAATCCTCAAACACTCTTGACATCTCCTTTAATTCTTCTGAAATTAATTTAACTTATAATAAGTAATTATAATCTTTGCTATTCTCCTATTTCAATTAACTTTATTCTTTTTCAGATATTCAAATTCATAAGCTTTAATAAAACAATGTCTCAGCTGTCATCAACTTTGTCTCGATGTATCAAAGACGTAGTAGGATTTGCCATCATGTTTTTTATAATATTCTTTGCTTATGCCCAGTTAGGATTTCTTGTTTTTGGATCACAGGTTGATGACTTTTCCACTTTTCAAAATGCCATGTAAGCTCTTAGTATAAATGTAATTATATCTTCTATGTCTTTTAACAAAAAAAAATCATGAAAATGTCTAGCCTTATATGATGGTAATACATGCTTTCATAAATTCAAACTTGGTTTGATGGTGTTGGCTAAATATCTGTCACACTCAAAGTAGGGTTTGGCACTGAAGGATCCAAATGGATGATGGTATACATTTTTAAAGTGTTACTAGGTCAAGTTAGAAAAAATAATTTTTCATCGTTTCTCAGCCTTTTGGCTAAGATCAAGTGTAGAAAAAAATAATTTTTCATTTTCCACTGGAAGTGAGAATTTTACCTAAGATACTAAAAGTTGGCCTTGGCTCAGTGCCCATAGCACACTGGTTATGGTGCCAGCCACATGCACCAAAGTTGGCGGGTTCAAACCTGGCCTGGCCTGCTAAACAATGACAAATGCAACAAAAAATAGAAGGGTGTTGTGGTGGGTGCCTGTAGTTCCAGCTACTCAGGAGGCAGGAGAGTCACTTAAGCTCAAGAGTTGGAGGTTGCGGTGAGCAGTGACACCACGGCACTCTACTGAGGGCGACATAGTGAAACTCTGTCTCAAAAAAAAGTAAATAAAAATAAAAATAAAAGTTGTGATGATAGCATTTCAAATTGTATGTAAAACCAGCACATTGTACCCCATGACTGAATTAATGTACACAGCTATGATTTAATAAAAAATAAGTAAAAGTTGGCCTTCATGTCTCTATACTGTTCATTCTCTGGGCAAAAGAAATCTTATTAAAAGTGTTTCATTTAGGGGGTGCTGTCTTAAGAATTTTTTTACCATAGCTCAGAGGCTAGGGTGCTGGCCACATACACCAGAGCTGGGGAGTTTGAATCCAGCCTGGGCCTGCCAAACAACAACAACTATAACCAAAAAATAGCTTGGCATTGTGGCAGGTGCCAATAGTCCCTAGTTCTGTCTCAAAAAAAAAAAAAAACAGCCAGGGTATTGTATTTTGGGGAAGAGAAATGGAT